GGGGGGGGGGAGGCCGGGGCGCCCAGAGCCCCTCGCGGAGGCGCTGCAGCGGGGCAGATTTCCAGAGCAGGCGGCGAGGCGCGCTTCCCCTTGGCAGCATGATCGGAGCACAGTGCCTGCGCTCGGTGGGGGGAAAGGCCTACAACTCCCAGCATGCTCCAGTCGGCATAGCCTAGGCGTCGCCATAGCATGCCAGGAATTGTGGACTTTTCGCGCTTGTCTAAGCTCGCAGAGGCTTGTGGCTTTTATTACTGCAAGTTTTCATAGCTCTTGCTCCGCGTTTAATCTCTCTGTTTTTCTGCTGCGCTTTCAGATCTGCTTTTAATCCGGATTTTATTCTTAGCGTCTTCCTTTGCCAGACAATCAGATGACAGTCGCCGTTTATTGCTTCCTTGGCTGTCTGTTTGTTTTGCATTGTATCGTGTTTATCCGTTTAAAGACGTGTGTCGTGTTTTATATTTCCAAGCGTGCGTTAGGACGGCGGGCCTGGTTTCTGCCCCACTGCCTGTACTCTTCCCCAACCGGGCGCCCGCAGCTGCATTGGAGCGCCGCCTCCATTCTCCGCTGCGCAGCCAGTGGGCCGGTCTCGGTCCGGCCTTCCTCGCAGGGCGCTTGAGGGGGGGGGGTGAAAGGTGGCGGGGAGAAGCAGAACGGATCGGGGGCACCGCGTGGACTGTCTTGTTCCAAAGCTGGCCTGCGAGGGGGCGGGCTGGGCGAGCGCGTGCATCATGCGGGGGTATTTTGGGATCAGGCGTCGGCATGGAGGGGGGAAGGTGCGGAGGCCTTCGATGAGGCAGCGGGGGCCCAGGCTGCAGACCCGCTTCCCCAGCCTGGGCGCCCCCCCCCCCCCCCCGCCCCCCCCACCCCCCCGCGTCCGCCGCCCAGGGGGGCGGGGGGTCTCCCCCCCCAAAACCGGGGGGGGGCCGGGGGGGGCCCCCCCCCCATATCCCCCCCCCCCCCGTTTGACTTATATCCTGCTTTCCTGCCCCCAGAGGCATTCGAGGGGGCTGGCGAGGAACGCCCAATCAAAATAAATGCTCGGCGATCGTCCCAGCAAAGCAAAAGCGCCCTGAAAATGCTGCCCTCGGAAAACAAACAGCCCCAAATACATTTAGGAAAAAACCCATTGGGAGCAGGCGATTCAGGGGTCCAGGGGGTCCAAACCCTCCCCCCAGCCCCAAGTCAAGAACTCGGCTGAGGTTGAGATCAGCCCCCAAACGCTGCTCCTCGACCCGGATTCCCCCAAAGATGGGACACGGTGGGCGGCCGCGGCACGAGCAGGTTCCGCCGAAGGGCCGCGATTCACAGAGTGGTGTTTGTGCAAATGTGTGATGTTTGTGTGGGGGGTGAGAAGAGCGGGCGGGCGCCCTCCCTCGTAGACGCGTCAGCACCCGCCTGGCCTGTTCCGACACCCCACCCCGGGGTGGGAGGCGCCAGGCCCCCGAGCCACAGGGTGACTCAGCCCCTCCTGGCCTGAGCTCCCCCCCCCCGGCACCACCTCTGCGCGCCCCACAAGACTGCGGAGGGTGTCCTGAGAGAGCCCCTTGCTGGTGGGGGGTGCTCGCCCTCCCGCCCCACTGCCGGGCCATCCACCCGGCCACAAAGGCCCCTGGCTGGAGGAGCGGCCGGCCGTGGTGCCGGATCAGCGAGGCGTTCATCGCCCTGCTCGGGGGCCCAGCCCATGGCGAAGCAGAGGCTGATGTTTTATCTATCTATCTATCTATCTATCTATCTATAAAAATGCATAAAAATGTTTTAATAATAATAATAATCTGTTTATCTATTTAGAGTTTTTATATGCCGTCCCATCGCTTAACGCCTCGGGGCGGCTTACATAAATAAATATAATACAAAAAATATAGAATATGTAAATTAAAAACCCCGATAACAGGCAGGCGGGGCTCTCTGAGCATCCGCAGAGTGCCTTGTGCTCACCGCACAGGCACCGCAGCTGCCTTTCCCAGAGGGGACGGTTGGGGAGGGGTCTTCCGGGGGCGGCCCTCGCCTCACCGTCCCTTGCCGCTGCTCCCACAGCCCGCCGGCCGCCCCGCCGGGTGGCGCACCAGATTCCGCAAGAGATTCTGTCGGACCCAGCGCTCCAGGCAGCCGTGGCGGCCCTGCCCCACAATTACAACTTCGAGGTCTACAAGACGGTGTGGCGGATCCGGCAGGCGCGGGCCAGACGGGGTGAGTGAGCGTGTCCCGGGCCGGGGGCTGCGCGTCGGGCCTGGTGTGCTGGAGGGCAGGGGCCCTGTGCCGGCTCGGAGTGAAGCGCCGCCTCTCGGGACCTGTGGGGCGATGGCCGCCCGCCGCCTCCTCGCTGCCCGGGGAAGAGCCCAGCTCTCGCGTGTGGGCGCCCGGTGCCGCCGCGCCGCGATCGGCTGGCTGCAAGAAGCTGCCTGTCGGCCCGATGAGCCGCCTTGCCGGCGTGAAGCTGATGGGATCGGACAAGGCGGGTGGGGAGGCCACGCTCGGCCGCCTCGTCTCCCGGAGGAGACGGCCGGGCGCTCCGCCAGGGCCACCGGCGGCCATGCCGGGCCAGGAGGTCAGAGGCTCGCCGCAACTGTCCCCGCTGGGGAGGCCGGGGCCTGGCCCTGCCGCGGCAGCAGGTGTCTGCCGTGCCACCTCGAAGGTGTCGAGTCCCAAAACGGGTGCAGGGGCTCCCAGGCCAGCGGTGAGGCAATTCCGGAGTCGCTCCCGGTGCCACCGAGGTCCGAAGAGGTGCAGGTTCGCCTCTGGGTGGGAGGGAGCTGCCTGGGACCCTTGCAGGGGCAACGGCCCTCCCCGGCTGCCTTGCTCAGCGGTCAAAGGGGAGCGTCAGCCCCCATCAGGTGGGGGGCGCTTCTGGGGCGGTGCTTGATGGTGACTGCGCTGCTGCCAGCCCCCGTGCCCCCCGCAGCAGCCGCCCCCGGCTTGGCGCCCTCTGGGCATGATGGGCTTCCGGCCCTGCCGGCCCCAGGCATGCTGGGAGGTGTAGTGCAGGTGTGTGAGGGGTCCTGGGCTGGGGCGGGCCAGGTGTGGGAAGCAGGGCGTGTGTCCGAAGGGCTCCGGGGAGCAGCGGGGGCCCTCGGCGCACGGCAGCCCCCGCCCCTGACCTGGCCCCCTCTCCCGCAGTGGCGCTGCAGATGCCGGAGGGGCTGCTTATGTTCGCCTGCACCCTCGCGGACATCATCGAGAGGTGAGTGGGGGGGCTCATGGGGGGTGGGGCAGTGGCTGGGCTGGCCCCTCGGAGGCCCAGCCCTTCCCGCTGCATCCGCGAGCCGGCCGGGGGGCTGGGCATGGGGTGGGAGGCCGCGTAGGGGGTGCAGAACCGAGAGGCCTCCGGGGCACCCGGGCGGCCCGGCCAGGTGGGGATTTGGGGCTGCAGGTCAGAACCCCTGCAGGGCCCCCGGGGGGCAGGGCCGTGGCGAGGGCCAGAAGGCGAGGGCAGGGCAGAGGCCCCATGCCGGGACGGCCGGGGGGAGAACGGGCAAGGACGGCCCGCACGTGCCTCCCGCATCCCAAACGGCTCCGGGCTTGCGGGGAGCAGCCGTGGATGCGGGGCGGGGACTCAGCCATGGGGGGGGAGCCCGGGACCGTGGCCACGGCTGCTGCGAGGCTCCTCCACTCCCCCGCCCCCCACCTCCCTCCCTCCCAGCGAGGGGCCTCTTTCATGTCTCGACTTCAAAGGCAGCTGATTATGGCGATCCTTTTATCTGAATGAAACCTGCGCCATGCATGACTGCCCCACCGGCTGCCGCTCTCCTCCGCCCCCCCGGCTCCCCCCGAAAGGCCCGCGCTGGACGGGGGGGAGACATGGCCGGGCACCCCTGCCCCATGGCATGGGGCCTCTGCCCTGCCCTCGCCTTCTGGCCCTCGCGCTCCGGCCCTCGTGTGCCACGGAGCCGCCGTGGCCCCTCCTGGGAGGGAGCGAGTGCCCAGCCCCCCGGCGCTCTGAGAAGCGTAGGAGCGACCCCAGGTTCCGGCCCCCTTGCTGGGGTCAGGCCTGCCCCCGAGCCCGGAGCAGGAGCAGGTTGGGCTGCAGCTCCCCGTGCTGGCTGGGGATGCTGGGAGCTGCGGTGCCATGCACCTGGGGGCCCTAACTGGGAACCGGGTGGCACGCCTATTTGAGGGTCGGAGTGGGGACTGGGCAGCTCCGGGTTCCAGCCCCGCTCAGCCGGGGGGCTCCCCGGGGGTCTGCAGGCCAGTCTCTCGCTCTGCCCCCCTGCCCCGCAGGGCGGCTCCGGTGCGGGAGAAGCGGGCCTTGGGGGCTGCCCGGGTTCCTTGCCAGAGGGAGCACGGGCTGCACTTGGTGGCGCCAGTGCTGTGGGGCATTTTGGGGCACTCCGTGAGTGTGAAGCCTGCCCCCCAGGCCCCCGGCTGGGCACAACCGAGGTGGGCCAGCCTCTCTCCCGCCTGGGAAAGGGTCCCGGCCCAGCGGTGCATCAGCTCTGGCCGCGATTGCCATGCGGAGCGGCCGCTTGTGGGGGCGCTGCCGGGGCCGTGCCCCCAACACACGGCTGTCGCCCCCTCCTCTCCCAGGCGCTCCTGCTGCTCCCGCCTCGAGCGCGGCGTCTTTTCCAGAGACGTCTGCCGATGAAATATTTAGCAGGCCACGAGCAGGGGCAGCGGGTGGCCAGCACCGGGCTCGCTCAGCTCCGCTCCCACTGCAGCCCCTTGACCTGGGGGGGCTGCTGTGAGCGGAAGGATTTCTGCCCCCTCCTTTTGGCGGAGGCCTGTGCGAAGCTGGGGCAGGCGGCACTGGGGGCAGCTGGCAAGGGACGCTGCTTGTTCGGGGCTCCCCAGTGCTCCCTCTTCTCCTGGGCCACCCCAGAAGCGACTGGCCAGTAGGCCTTCCGTCTGGGCCATCCGGCATGCTGCTTCCGCCGTGGCCAGCTGAACTCTGAGCATGTCTGAAAGGCCTCCTCGCCGGAGCGCTGTGGTCCACCGAGCTGCCGATGCCCCCCGGGGGAGCCGTGTGCCCCCAGCCCTCCACCAGGATATCTGGGCGCAGGCGCCGCCTTCCGGTTTCGTGGCGGCTGCTGCTGAGCAGGGAGACCCTTCGGGTGGCACCCCAGCTGCCCCCTCAATGATTTGTGGGGGGCTTAGAAATTGTCCCCACTTCTGGGCCAGATCGAACTGTCTCTCAGCCCTCGCGCCTTGGTTCCAGCCGTGCCGCCCGGGTGTCTTTGGGAACGTCACAGGGGTGGCTCGACAGAAGCCCCCTTGCCCCACGCTGCTCATGGGGCCCTGTAGGGCAAGCAGCGGGTTTAATACAAAAAGGTTCGGGGTGGCCTCGATCCCACTGCAAAGGGCTTGGGGGCTCGAGGCCGAGCCAGGTGAAAGGCGCGCCAGCGGCTGGGAAGGGGCAGCGGTCGCAGGTGGGGGCAGGAGCGGCCGACCACGGCAGCGGACGAGTTTTGGGCCCACATCTTCGGAAGCTGAACTCCGAGACCTCTCTGAATTATGCAGCTCAGGCTGGCGCTTGCCTGCGTCTGCTTTTTGTATAATTCATCCTCGGCGGACAGGCGGACGTGGCGTGTCCCCCCGCCGCCCCCCCAGAGGCCTGCATGGCTTCCCTGGCACCGGCCTCACTCGCTCTCTGCAGCCGGCAGGACTAGAAACCGGGTCCTGGAAAGCCCCCCTCCCTCCAGCAGGGCCGCATCCTGGGGGCTTCCCCTCTGGTGAACCTTTGCACATGCCCAGAGGACTGTCCTCTCTCGAGAGGGTCCGCTTCTGTGGAAAGCCCTGGAAACACTGTGGGCATGCAGGGGCTGTGGAGGTACCCCCCCCCAGTCTTCCCTGGAAAGTCACACTTCCAAGTGATCCCGGTGGAACAGCTGCCGGCTCAGTCGATTCCCCCAGCTGGACAGGCCCCCTCCCAAAATGGAGCCGTGCCCCCATCTGGACTCGGGCCTCCGTCTTTAAATAGTGAGCGTGAGGCATACTGACTGGTCAGCGGAGGAATCTCTCCGCCCTGCACACGGATCGGCCCCTCCGCTGCCGGTCCAGGGGCTGCGGGGCCCCCCTCCCAGGGGGCTGTCTCTGCCCCCCATTCTGCCTCCCCCCGCACAGCCCTTTGGGACGCGAGTATTTGGATGAGAGCCTCAATCCCGTGATGGCGAGTGGCTTTCTCCACTTGAGGAGGCCGATTATGGTGGCCACTGGAAGCAGGCCGGAGTCCCTGGGGGCTTGCCTGGAGGACGGACGGCGGCGGGCACAGCCCGAGCCCCTTGCTGTACTGGGGGGGGGGGGGGTTCCCAGCTGTTGCCTGTGATTTCTCCAGCTCCCGCTTTCCCATCCAGGAGCCCTGCAAGGTAGGACGAGGGCTGTGCCCATCCTGCAGCTGGGTGGGGGAGGGGGCAAGCGAGGAGACTTGTCTGAGGGAGGGGGGGCCAGCGCAGCCCTGGCTGAGGGGCAGAGCACGGCGGAGGGGTGGGCTTTCCAGGTGGCTGGTCAGGCCGCAAGGTGGGGGACGCCTGGCCCGGCAGCTCTCCCAGGGGGAAATACCTTGGCGTCTCGCTGATCGCAAGCTCGGGCGGCCCAAGCACGGCCCTCGCCTGGAGCAGCCCCTGGGCGGCCGGGAGGAGGGCAGCCAAGATGGCTGACACAGCAGCCTGCCAGGAGAGGGGCAGCCCGGCCTGGGGAAGAGCGGCTGCGGGGCACCGGGAGCCCGTTGTGCGTCCCGGCCCGAAAGGCGGCGCACGGGGGGTCTGCGGGCTCGGCTCTGTCCCGGCTGTCGGACAGGAACTAAGGGGCTGATGCTTCGGGGGGCAGATCTTGCCCCAACACCTGGGAAAGCCGCCTCGCGGTCAGGGCACAGGTAGGCCGGCAAAGACCGGCCCGCCCAGGGAGGTGGCGGGCCCCCCGCCCCCGGAGGTCTCCAGCAGAGACTGGACGGCACCCGTCCGAGGGGCCTGAACCTGGATTCCTGCCCCACGCGGGGCTGGACTCGAGGGCCTCCCTGGCCCCCTCCCTGCTTTGCCCCCACTTCTGCTCCCCTCTCTTGTAGGTTCACGGACGCGGAAGCCGTTGTGATGGGTGACGTGACTTATGGGGCTTGCTGCGTGGACGACTTCACCGCCCGGGCCCTGGGGGCGGACTTCCTGGTCCACTACGGCCACAGCTGCCTGAGTGAGTATCTGCTGCCCGCCGGGGTCACCCCTCTCCCCCCACCCCGGAAACGAGCGCTGAGGCCCAGCCCTCCGCAGGGAGCCAGCCGCGTCCGGGCTTGGGGGCTTGGAGGCGCGTGGCGGTAGCTCGGCCCGGGGGGCTGGCCTGGCCGTCCTCGAAGGGCAGCTCCGCCTGTCCGGCCAGGCCCGGCGGGGGCGCACCCCTCAGCCCTGCAAGAGGGGAGGGCCGGGGCTCCCCACCGCCGCCCCGAGAGGCCAGACCCAGGCCCGAGCCCCTCCCCTGTCCCTCGAGAGCCCATTGCCAGCCCTCGAGAGGCCCCCCTCGTGGCCCTGAGGCCAGGGCCGGAGGGCGGGGCGGCGCCTGGGCCCGGATCTGCCCGGCTGTTGCTGGGCGCGGGGAGGAGGCGGCCGAGCGAGGAGGAGCATCGCTCCCTAGGCGGAACGGTACTCTGGATTCTGTTGCCATGGAAACTGCTGCTGTCCCAGATGCTGCTAACTTTGAAGTCCGCCCAGGATGGAATTGGCTCAAAATAACAGGGAGAGGAGTGCCGGCTGGGTGGGGGGGGGGTGTGCTCCACTCTTAAGGTGGATCTGCGGCGTTGGAGTGGAGGGGGGGCACCGGCTGCCGTGCGCCTCTCCCGCCGCCCTGGCTCGGCCCCTCTGGGCGCTCGGCGTGTGCCTGACGGGCGGGGAGCACTTTGCACGTGCTTGCAGGCGCTCTGGCTTTGTTCCATCCAGGCAGGGGCCTTCTCTGGAAGGCTGCTTCACGGGGTGCGCCATCGCATCCCCCAAGGACGGGGTGGGCGCCCCTTTATGAGGGGGCAATCCCGGTGCGCCAGCACTGCAGGGGGGGTGCACCAGGCTCGTTTCTGCTGCAGACGCTTTTATCCACTAGGATCTCTTTCCCTGAGTCTCCGCGTGGGGCATTTGGATGCCCCCATGGAGACGATCGGGCCAGAGCAGCTTCCTCTCCCAGGAGGGTGTTTCGCTAGGCTTCTGTTTTACTCCAGAGGAGACCACACCTCGTTCTGCATGCCAGTGTTGCCTGTCCTCACAGAGCCATGTTCTTGCTCTGTCTGCGTCGCCCACGTGGGCTAGAAACTTGGATATTTTAGAGGGCGGGATGGAACGAAATCCAAACCTTGTCCAGAGCTTGTCGGTCGCAGGGGTGGCGGCGTGGAATATACCTGCCCTCAGGAAGAGCCTCGGGGGGCTGGGGGAGCGTCCGGAAACGCCCCCGAGCAGACCCTTCCCCTCCTCTTCCCCCAGTTCCCATCGACGCCACGCAGGGCGTGAAGATGCTGTACGTCTTCGTGGACGTCAAGATCGACACGGCCCACGTGGTCGAGACGCTGCGCTTCAACTTCCGCGCGGGGGCCAAGCTGGCGCTGCTCAGCACCGTCCAGTTCGTGTCGGCGCTGCAGGTGGGCGGCGCCGTGAGGCCCGAGCGGCAGGGGGCACGTGGCCCGGGGGACCCGCACACGCGGCGGACGGGCGTGGGCATGCTGGGCCAGCGCCCGGCCCGGTCCGGCTGGGGGGCAGCTCCTGCGGCCCCCCCGCCCGTCGGATCTTCGCTCCGGCGGCCCCCACCTCCCGCCTGCCCGCCGTGTGCCCTGGGGCGGGCGCTCTGTTAATGTCACGGCAGGCAGGCAGGCAGGCAGGCAAGCTCTCGCACTGACTGGGCGGGAGGTGCCCCAGCAGGGCCGGCAGCCGCCTGATGGGCAGAGATGGATGGGGGCGCCGCCGCGGCTGTCTGAATGCGCCGCCGCTGGAGCGTTAAATGGCAGCTGCTCCGGGCGGGAATGGATGCCTCATGCCTCGTCAGGAGCGGTGGCGGGCGAGCTGCGCTCCCGGCGGCGCCACTTCAAGGCTGGGGAAGCCCGTCCGTGCGGTGTGATGCCGGGGGGGGGGTGTTCGCCCTTGTCTTCCGGCCTGGGGGTCCCGTCTTTCTCCGGGAAGGCAGGGGTGTGGGGCACCTCCCGGCCTGAGCTCTGGGTGCCGCTTCCGGGGAGCTCTGGGGGGCCCGTCCCCACACCGGGTGGGCCCAGCAGCATCCCCTTAGGAGAGGCCTGCTGTGGCTTCGGGACGGCTGGGGGTGTCATTGCGGGGGACACGGGCCTTCTGGGCAGCCCTGGGGTCCATTGGAACCTCCCTGTTCGGAAGCAGCCTACCCACGGATACCATCCGTGTTCTTATTTCTGTGGCAGCTGGGAAGCAAGCCTTCCACGAGGTTTGCGGATGGTAAAACCTAAGTACAGCATGAGGAAACTGGACTTAAACCCTTTAAAGGTTTAGCACAGGACAAAAGCAAAGGGAAAACCAGAGTACAAGCCGACAGCCATGGAAAGACACAGCAGCACCTTTAAAATCCTCTGAAGATGCTAAAGGAGGACATGGCAAGGTTTCACCGGGGCCCAGAAACCCGCTGGCCTCTGGCAGTCCCCTGCCGGAGACACGATGCTGGGTCTGCTTGTCCGGCTCTCCGCCGCCAGGGCTGCTCAGCGTCCCCACGCTCTGCCCACTCTCCCCACAGGCCGCCAGCCGGGAGCTCCGGCCCGACTTCTCCGTCTGCACCCCGCAGTGCAAGCCCCTCTCCCCCGGCGAAGTGCTCGGCTGCACGGCCCCCCGCCTGGCCCCGGACACCGACGCTGTCGTGTAAGTGGCGGGCCGCTCGCAGGCGCGGGCCGTGCGCTCCTCTCTCGGGGGGGCCGTGCCCTTTGGGCGCCCCGGCATCCTGGGCGGGGGGTGAGCGCCACAGGCCCCCACGATGGGGACCACGGGAGGGGCCCAGGAGTGCCGGGATGGGGGAGCCGCGCGCCTCATCGGGTCCGTCTCCCCTCGGCCCCATCAGGGCCCAGAACCGGGGCGGGGAGGCGAGGAGGAGGAGAGGCTGGCCGGGGAAGATGGGACCGCCTCCCCTTCATCTCTGCAAAGGGCAGCGGCTCCAGCCGCCGAATTACAGCCGTGACGCTTAATGCTCTGTGAATGCCACACCAAGGAACGCAGGGGAAGCTGGCCAGGCTGCAGGAGTGGGGGCTCCTCTGGCTGCCCCCAGCCTGGCTCACGGGGGCTCGGGGAGCTGTTGCTGGACTCCACGCGGCCGCCCGGGGCGGAATCCGGGACCGCAGGGCTGGTGCCCCTGCCAGCCTTTGCCTCTCCGTGCACGGGAGCGGCGGGTGGGAAGCCATTCCAATGTGCCTGGCCGGCCGGCATTCCTGGCTCGGGCCGGGGGCCACACACTCAGTGTTGTGTCGGCTTGGGCAGGCGTTTGCCGCAGCCCAGATAATCCTCGCGTGGGGCATTCCTCTGGAGCGGGGCGGCATCTCTGAATGCCCGGACCGCCCGTCCCTCGGCATCTCCGGGGGCTTGCAAGCTAAAATGCCGTGAGCACCGGCCAGACACGAGCCAAATATGTTGGCGAGAGGAAGGCTGGGATGCAGTCCAGCGGCGTGAATTCTCTGGGCCCGTCCAGGCGCTTCTCTCCCTTTCCAGGCGATCCACCTCGTTCTTTCCCCGCAGAAGCGTCTCCGGTCCCGCTCTGGTCCCCGGCGGGGCGAGGCTTCTGGGGCGGCTCTTGTGGGTTCGGGAGATGAGGCACAAGAAGGCCAAACGGGCTCGGGGCGCTGCCAAGACAGGGCTCGTCCCCGTTCGCTTTTGTGCAGTTCTCTCGGGCCGGCTCCCCCCACAGACACGTTAAGCAGGCAAATTAGCTTTGATCGTCTGAGATGTCATTCTCCAATTAGAGGCAAAATCTAGTCAGGTTTTCTGTCCAAATTCATTTTCCGACCTCTCACTCCATTAGGCTGGCCGAACGAAAGAGTTGGAAATGTAATTGCTGACTTGAAATCCGATTACAAAGGGAAGCGGAGACGCCTCTCGGCTAAGAGCCCCCCCCCCCACATCCTGGCCCAATCCTTCCCGGGGCGAGGTGGTGGTGCTGGGCATCTGCCCCTCCTGCTTTGCCCCAGTGCTCAAGCACCCCCAGCCCTCGAATCCAGGGGCCAGAGGCTCTCGGCCGGGCGCGAGGACCGCGTCCTTTGAACGTGGGCCGGGATGCAGGACCTGGGGGGTTTCTTTGGGAGATGCTCTTCCGTCAGGGAGGCCAAACGATGAGAGCCGCTGCTGGAAAAGGGGACTTCTGAGACGTCAGCCGTGGCAGCTGCACTGAGCCTCCATTTCGGAGGCAGCCTACCTGTTTGCTTCTTTGGAGGAAGTCTTCCTGAAGCTGCAGAGAGACTCCTCCAGCCACAGGCAGCTCTCCGAGATAAGCAGAGCGGCGTTTTAAAAAGTGGAAGAGGGGCGCTGCCTCTGAAATGGATGTGGGGTGCCTGTCTGGCTGAGGACTCCCTGGCCCAAAGGGCTCACGGGCCGCTGCCGGAGGGGCGCAGGCCCAGGAGCAGCCTGGCCCGAGGCCTCTTCCGTTCAGCAATCCTGTCTGAAGCACCTCGTCCTGGCTCTGCTGCAGGTACCTCGGGGACGGGCGCTTCCACCTGGAGTCCATCATGATCGCCAACCCGGGAATCCCCGCTTACAGGTATGGGGGGAACGGGGCGGCGCAGGGGTGGGGGGTCCGGCAGAACTTCCTTCCAAAGAGCTCCAGGGAGCGCTTGCTTGCTCGCTTGCTTGCTTTTGTGTCCCGCCCTTCACAGCATCTCCGGGCGGCGATAAAATACCTAAATAAGATCCAGCATTGAGAAGAATATAGCAAATCAATGCTTAAAACAGGACAACATTTCAAATAACGTGAGCTGCCCCGAGGCTTCGTTGCGATGGGGGCGGCATAACAATGTTTTAAATAAATAAAAATAATAAAATAAATAATGAGGAAAGGGAAAGGGCCGAGCTTGGCCGGTCCTCTGCAGCCCCTTGGCCCCGTTCGTGGGCACGTGGGTCGGGCAGTCTCCCCAAAGGCCGGCTGGGGCATTCAGGGCTGGGTGGTGGGAAGAGCGGCAGACAGAGGGGCCGGCAGGGCAAGGATGCCCGGCGGGCGCCAGCCCCCTCCAGCGGGAAGCGCGGCCCCTCCTTCCCCTTCCCAGGTCGCGAAGCCCGGTCTGCTGCCTCCACCGCCCGTGTTCTGCGCCCCTTTCCTGTCCCACTGCTCTCGGCCTGCGTTATTTTTAAAGCCCCCGGAGCTCCCCCCGCTTTTGAAACCCGCTTCAGGGGTAGCTTCGTCTCATTCCCCAAAGCTGCTCAGCCTGAGATGCTGGCAGCCCCCCGGCGGGAGGCAGGAGAGGGTTCCACGGGGCAGAGGAGGAGAAGCCGCCGGGGACGATGCCCCGGGGCACTTCGCCGCCTGCACTCCACGGGCCCCGGCGGGGCTGCTGTCCTCTCCAGCAGAGACAGACAACTGGTTCATCCGACCAGCAAGCCGCCCTGGGAACGTGTGCCTGCGGGGCTGCTTTTGCCCACCCACCCACACTTGTAAGACACAATCCGCAGCTGCCGCACAACGGGGCTTGTCTTGCCGTGCGAACCGGGCCCGCTCATCCAACTGCACGACCCATGGGTGAGCTGACCTGCGGGGGCTTGTTCAGACATGCAGGCTGGCCCGAAGAAACCTATCAGGCGGAAGGAAGTGCCAGGAGAAGCTTAATTTGTTCTTAGAGGACAGTCTGCAGAATATGTGGGAAAGCAGCTCGCGAAGGAAAGCATCCCAGCTTGGAAAGAGCCATGGGGAGGGTGTCCGTTGTGCCCTGCACGAGTGCCTGTTCTGGGCGCCTCCTGCCTGTCTGAAAGGGCCGGCTGGAGGGTCTCCTCTCGAGCCCCTCGCCCGGATGCCGGAAGCGACCCCTTCGGAGCGTGCAGGCGAGGCTCTGGGGTGCAGCGGGGGGCTGGGGCCATTTCTCCCGCTGGGCGGAGAAGCTGGGAAGACAGACGCGGCGCCTGGCTGGCTGGGGAGCGGGCAGCCCTCCTTCACGTGGAGGAGCACTTCCCATGTACTCCCCTGGAATCTAAACATTTTGACAAGCACCTGCGAGAGCGTTTTGCGGGGCACCCATTAAATGCTCCCCCCCGCCCCGGCCGCTGCAGGCTGAGGCCATAAAACGCAATGATGAGGCTGCTGAGAGGCGATGAAATATTCGCCACTCGGGCGAGGCCGGGCCCTGCTCGTCGGAATCTGAATTTCTGAGCAGGTCGTTTGTTACCGGCAGGCGGGGGACGGCAGCTTTATGGGCCGGGGAGGCAGCCCGGCCCTGGCGCAGCTTGATTAAAATTCCCTTTGTCGAGCGTGGCGACAAATCACCCAGTTCCCTGGCAAGTGATGAAGGGGGGAAAGTGGCGGAGCGTGGCCAGGAGCCGGCGGGGCGGGCCGGCCGGGCGCGTGCAGCCGGCTCTCCTCCTCACGAGCAGGCAGCTCCGGGGGCTCGGTAGGGGTCTTCCTTCCCTCCTGGTAGCAGAGCGGGATTGGGACGAAGCCAGGCAGCACCGCGAGGCACCGAAAAGTTTTGCGGTTTGGGCTGCCAGGGCAGGATCTACACGTGGCGCTTTGTGTCTCCGTCTGCAGGTTCAAGGTTTGGGGGCTGCAAAGCCAGAGTAGCCCCGCGTCCCTCGGGTAAAACAGAGCCGTGGGGTGGCAGCCCACTCCGGGCAGCCCGGGCCGGCGGTCTGCTCCGTTCGCCGGCCGCCTCCCTGCGCCCGCCCTGCCCCCTCCCCTCCTGCCCCGCTCTGGGCACTTCCGCTGCAGAGATGCTCCTTTGGTGGGCCCGTGTGGGGCTGGGGGAGCGGTCTGAGGCACAGCAGCATCGTGCCGGGGCACCCGTGGCCCCTTCCTGGGACGGCCCCACGGCCTGCTGACCACCGGACCTCCCTCCGCAGGTACGACCCCTACAGCAAGGTCTTCTCACGGGAGCATTACGCCCACGAGCGCATGCAGGCGGCTCGCCAGGCAGCCATCCGCACGGCCGCCCGCGCCCACAAGTGGGGGCTGATCCTGGGGACCTTGGGGCGCCAGGGGTGCCCAGCCATCCTGCAGGTGAGTGGCTTGGAGCCCCTCCCTGGCTCGGAATCGCCCTTGGGGAGTCGGCCAGGGCTCACATACGGGGGGGGGGGGGGGGCCCCCTCCCGTTCCCCCGGGACCCCCGGGTGGGCCTCCGCCCCCCAACCCCCCCCCCCCCCCGGTGCGCCTGGCCTGGACCTGTCTGGGGGGCCGAGCATCTCGAAGCAGAGGCCCTCTGGGGTCTGCCTGCCCCTCGCTTTCTGCCAGCCCCTGCCCGCATGCCGAGTCCTGGCTCTGCGGGAGCGGGGAGGGCCGTGGCGGCCCCTCCGACGCAGCCCGTGATGATGACGGGCGAAAACGAGCCGCTTTGAAGCCGTGTCCAGGTTGAAGGCAGGGAATGTCGCGAGCGGCAAACTGAGGCAGAACTTGGCAGGCGGAGGGTCTCTGCAGGTGTGGAGGCATCAGAGGTGCCGGGCCCCGTGGAGCCCTGGGGTGCGAGCAGGACGCCTGGGGGCTCCCGACCGCCGCTCACGGGCCCCGTCCCTCCCGCTTCCGCAGCACTTGGAGTCCAGCCTGCAGGCCGTGGGGCGCCCCTTCGTCCGGCTTCTGCTCTCGGAGATCTTCCCTGGGAAGCTGCAGCTCTTCTCTGACGTCGAGGCGTGAGTGCGGGCCGGATGGCCCCGGGGCTCAAAGGGAGGGCTGGGAATGATGGGAGTCGGAGTCCAGCATGCCTGGAGGGCCAGGCTGACTTACTCCAGGCCGCTGGCATGGCTTTTGGGGGACCCCCTCCTGCGGCTCCTCCAACCCTGCCGCTCCGGCTCTCAGGGGCCCCCCTTTGTCCTCCATCCAGGTGGGTGCAGGTCGCGTGTCCCCGGCTGTCCATCGACTGGGGGGAGGCCTTTGACAAGCCCCTGCTCACCCCCTACGAGGTGAGTGGCGGGGCTTGCTTGCTGGGGGCGTGGGCCCCCGAACGGGCAGGGAATCAGTGGACCCGGAAAGCCCCTGGCCCATTTCTTCTGGACCTGGGGCCCAGACGGGTGGGAGGGTGGGCTGGGACAGGGATGGACGGCCGGCAGGCGCTCCGTCTGGGACCGGCCCCATTCCCTGCCCCGGCCCCTCATGCGGCGCCCGCTTCCTTCTGCGTCCCGTTGGAGGTTCCACCTGGCCAGGGGAGCAACGGGTCCGCCCAGGGCCGGCTCTGGGGCCGGGGCTGCCCCGGCGGGCGCCCCTCTGGGCTGGGGGGCCGGGCGCCGCTCACCCTCCCGCTCCTCCCTCGCCCAGGCGGCCGTGGCGCTGAAGCAGGTGGCGTGGCAGGAGACGTACCCCATGGACTTCTACGCCGGCCAGTCGCTGGGCCCCTGGACCGTGAACCACGGCAGCCACCGGCCCCGGCGGGCGAGCGGCGCCCGAGAGGTGAGGGGCCGGGCCAGGCCAGGTGGGGGAGAGACCAGAGAACGAGTGGGGGGGCGCTTTCGCAGGACCGCCCGGTCTCACACGTTCGGAAGGCTCCGATGCACGGGGGTTTCACATCGAGGGCGGGCTTCGCGTAAGCCACTCTTGACTTCTCTTTCAAAAACACAACAAGTTGCGGCTTCACACTTGGTTCTCCCAGACAGCGGGGGGGGGGGGGGATGCCCAGTACAAACCCACCCAAATTCCTGAAATGCTCAAGGCTCAGTCTGCAGCAATTGTCTTTGCAAAAGCGTACATCTTCATTTATTTTTCAAACAGGGGAAAATGCAGTTTTTACTGAGGGAAAGCATGTCCGATTTTGAGAAAGCCCTCCTTGAGTAGGTTTTTCTGTGCAGCTCATCTTTTTTGCCCCTTCTACACACATTCCAACCATCGGAATCGCTCCAGGACCCCTCGTTTTTCTAACCCTAACACTAC